TTAAAACAGGAAACACACATCCTGTGGCAAAAACAAAAACAATGCCCAGCACATATTAAGTATTAAGTTTTAGCCATTATGATCTCAGCTATGCCAAATACATACATGAAAAAACTGAGATGAAGAAAAATGTAGTCAAATATGGCAAAGTGGTGAAAAGGGGTATGTTATTTTAGATAAGATGATCAGCTACTACATATAATCCATAAGAAGGAGCCATCCATTGATGATTTGGATGATTCATCTTCCCATTTATAATTTTACTTTGTCTTGTATTAAGATCTGTCAAGAAATCATAATAAAGTGATAAATCTACCCAGGAATATAATAAATTCTTATTTGATAAATATCAAAAGAGGCCCAGGGTAACATGAAGGAATTAACAAAGTATCTTGTAAGTATGTTAGATGAATAAGAATAAATCACTGGTCATGTATATATGCATGTTTTGAAATTTTCTGGTACTGGTTAATATTAAAACTTGGATTATGATTTTTAACAGAATCTACCAACATTTTATATAGTTAAGTTTTCCCTTCCATAAACATATGATAAAATTATAAAAACAAAATATAAAAAATACAATTGGGATCACATAAATAAGGAGCAGCAAAAAAGAAAAAAAAAAGAAAGAAAAAGAATTGAGATATTGAAACAACTCTCAAAGATATATACACACATATAAAACTTAATACAGTTAAAAGTCTCTGATTAAAAGAGCTATATATTCCATGCACTGAAACTAACACATTGTTTTGACCTCATAAATATTAATAATAAATCTATAACTCTCTACCATATCTCACTTTTACATTACCTGATAGTTATCACTGACAAACACATTCAGGGGTGACAAGATAAGTTGTAGCATGGTCTCCCTAAATCCTTTTTTCATTTCAAAACATAGCCTTTCCAAGAAAGCCGTAGGGCATTCAGGACCATCAGTAGTTCCATGCTGTGGTCAAACAAAATACAATAATCAAGAAACAGAAAAAAATAAAAAATAAGGAAGTACATGAAAATAAAAATTACATTTATCATGATTAAGAGAATTTGATTTTTCTTTTTTTTTTTTTTCCTTTTTTCGTGACCGGTAACGGGATCGCAACCCTCAGTGTTGCACCCGTACTGCAAGTACATGAAAATAAAAATTACATTTATCATGATTAAGAGAATTTGATTTTTCTTTTTTTTCCTTTTTTCGTGACCGGTAACGGGATCGCAACCCTCAGTGTTGCACCCGTACTGCGACCTGTAACGGGATCGCAACCCTCGGTGTCGCGCCCGCACTGCGCTCAACCAGTGAGCGGACTGGTCTCTATATGGGATCCGAACCCTCGGCAGGAGCGTCGCCGCGCTCGAGAATTTGATTTTTCAAAAGCAGTTACAGCACTTACTGACAAAAATAACCATTCTATACCTTAGTAAGGGCACTAGCTGCACTAAGCACAAAAGGTAACTTCTCTGCTGTGCAATATCAGGTACATGACATGGAGCCAGTATGCAGCACAATGCTCTAGAGCCAGTTCCAAAGCCAGCCCTACTCCAAAGCCCCAGCCACAACAGGCCCAAGGTGCATCTTTACAGTGAACGAGGATACTATGCTGGATGCAAACCTTTGACACAATACAACCTCCAGGGTTAAGCCTGAAGCTTGATCTTGTAATAGGTCCACAATAAGGCCACAATCTGGTCTGGGATCTGAGATCAAAGCTAAAGAGATGTAAAGTCTTAGAATATCCATCAGGCTAACTATAAACTCAACGATTCAATGTCATGACAAAATATCCTAAAGTTACACAGAACAGCAAAAGACCTAAAGTGAAAGAGGAAAAACTGAAGTAAAATCACCAATGATCAAATAAGAAAATAAGCTAGCTTTATAACAGTAAAAGGATAAAGTTAGAAGTTTTTGAGTCTTTTTTTAATTTTTGAAAAAATTTGAATTTTTTTCTATGTGTGTGCATGCACATACACATGCTACATGGGTGTCATAATACACTCCAGACTATTTTGATATGTAAACACTTACAACAGGAAGACGACCATGAACTTTGTACAAATTAACAAGTACAGTAATATCCCAAGGACGCAAGGTAAGTGGATGAATTGACTTGGCTGTAGTTTCATTTTCCTTTCTGTCATTTTCCATTCCAACAGCAGTCCACCCAGAGCTGGATGATGTGGACAGTGACAGAACAGGACTTGAAATAACCTCTTCAAAATCCATATACATGTCATCTTCCCCAAAGTAGTTTTCCTATAAATATTAAGAAAAAAACAAACTATTATTGAAAGAGATATGAGCCTTAAATTTGTAAACTACGCACCTCCTTAACTTACTGTATTTAATTAAAGGCATCAGGTCTATTTTCTTAAAAGGAAAAAATATATATTTAAGACATACACGTAGCTGGTTGGCAAATAAATATTCTGTAGCAAAAAGTGCAAAAAGTTACAGGAGTTTATAGTAGAGCTTCATGACACCACCTCCAATTATAACAAAAACTTGTAATTTAGGCTCTCAAAGATAACTTTGAAAGTTTGTATGATTCAGTAGTTTTCAATCTTTGCTTCTCAGAGTGCTGAGGGAAAACCCAGGGACATTCTTTGGAGGAAGCAGATCAATTCACTGAAAATCAATTTGGCTAAATTCAGTTAGGTAAATACTACAATTCACATATTCTAGTTGGAATATTTATCAGGAGTATTTACCAACTTTAATAAGAATGTCCAATTCTGGTTACTGATGAGATAAAAGCATATGTTATCAACAGTCACCAAACTTCCTTTCACATAGTTCATCCTGGTTTTTTAAGCAGAAGTGTTTCAACTATTAATATTCTGATTTCTTTTGCATCAGAATTTTAGTTTTAAATTCTTTTTTATTCCCATTGATTCTGAACTTAAATTTTGCCTGTCAGTGGTAAACAAGTTTTTTGTTTTTGTTTTTAAACCTGCTTGACTTACCCAGATTATTTAATATATAATGACGCAACTGTGACCCAAAGTGTACAAAGTTAAAGCCTCCAAGTGCAGCTGAGAAGAGAGGGCAGGAATGGTACACTTGGGGCTGCTATGATCAGGAAGGATGGGCAGGTGATCATGATCAGGGTAGCATCCTCCCCATGGCCAGGGACAGGGGAGTGGCCTGAGGAGCAGGGCCCCAGGGTAGCCTAGGGCCAGTGGAAGGGTGCAGAGACCTCCCCCTTGACCTACATCAGAGGCCCAGAAATGCCACATGGCTAACGGGGCAACAGCATCCTCCCCATGGCCAGGGACAGGGGAGTGGCCTGAGGAGCAGGGCCCCAGGGTAGCCTAGGACCAGTGGAAGGGTGCAGAGACCTCCCCCTTGACCTACATCAGAGGCCCAGAAATGCCACATGGCTAACGGGGCAACAGCCCAGGCAGGGGCCAGAGGCAGGGCCAGGAGAGCACCATTTCTTGGGGTGGGGGTAGAAAAGTTATTAAATATTTCTGTTTACACTGTTAACTGTATCTGTTAAACATTAGAACCAAGTTAGTATTTTTGGTAAATTCTACAGTTGGTTACTGACAGATTTAACTTCTGACTAGGGTTATGAACATCAGGCCATAGTATCTTTTCACAGAAAAGAATGCTGAAGGGCTTAACATCAAACAGTTAATTAGTGGGAGGACTAGCATTTGAAATCCCAAATCTTCTGACTCACAAACCCAATGTTCTTCTCTCTATTCTCTATTGCTGTCTACCTCTAAATAATACAGATGCAACTTGGAACCTGCTTAAAATCTTGATAACTGTCCTTACAATATAATCCTGAAGCATGGACAAATTTAAGCACAAATATAAACGTAAATAAACACTGGGTTATATCCTAAATTCTAGCATTAAAATTTTAAAACTTAACATAAATGTCAAGTTGAGTTTGATTAATGTTAAAAACTTAAAGATACTCAGAGCAGTATTTGTCCCTTAGATTATTTGGCAAGCCTTTTCAAAATATACATGCCATCCCGTCCTGGAGGCTGGTTCAGCAGGTTTGTCGTGGGCATGGAGTCCAGACTCAGGTGTAAAGTAGAAAAATTCCTTTGGTGATTTTATCTACAAATGGCCTCTAGACACAATCATCTGTCCCACCTTCCCTCCAAACAACTGATATAATGAGTCAATGAACACTGTTCATGTTTATTAGCTTTTAATATATTAACATTTACCAACCAAACAAAATAGTTACCAGCACTTATTTTACCTAATTTAAAAATAATCATAGCCTAAAAATCTCTAATTTTTTTTTTCCTTTTTGTCTTTTTTTCGTGTCCAGCAACGGATCGCAACCCTCAGTGTCGCGCCCGTACCGGACCGGGACCGGCAACGGGATCGCAACCCTCGGTGTTGCGTCTGCACCTCGCTCAGCCAGTGAGCGGGAACCGGTCTGTATGTGGGATCCAAACCCTCGGCGGGAGCGCTGCCGCACTCCCAAGCGGCGCACTGTAGCAGTGCGCCACCGGGCCGGCCCTAAAAATCTCTAATTTTAAAAAAATTCTCTTGTAGGCTCTTAAATTCTCTTACAATTTTTAATCTTAAAAAAATACAGATTCCTGTAGATTATTACAATTAAACGAAAAATGATTCTCTTGGTTGGGTCTAATGTTCAATTTGCTACTAAACCAATGTCCATTTAATTACCTGAAACAGAAATAACTCATCAAAGTTTTTAGGGAACACTGAATACCCAACATAGTAGAGGACATTTGCCAATTTTTATTAAATGTGTCAATGACTATGTTTTTGAGGAGTTACAAAACACTAGCAGTCTTTCATGACAATACATTTTTACCTATTGAATATAATCAACAAAAGGTACTTTTAAAATTATAACTCCTTTAAAAAGCTAGCTTAATGTTATATATTTAATGCTGGGTGGCTGATTTAAGTTCTTTTGTTTTTGTTTTTAAACGTGAATTCTATCTACAAGGGTTAATTTCTTATGAACTCACTAATCAAAAAATTATCAAAAGGTTGACCAAAGTGTAAGGCAAGTGATAATATTATGGCAAGCTTTTATGGTATTTTAAGGGTAATAAATATTTGCAAATGCTGAATAAATAAAACTTCCATTTCCTTTTAATGTAGGTGGCATGCAAAACTAAACTCTTTAAAATAAACTTCAGGGCTGGCCCAGTGGCACACTGGAGAAGTGCAGCGCTTGGGAGCATGCCGGCGCTCCCACCGAGGGTTCGGATCCCATGTGGAGACCAGTTCCCGCTCACTGGCTGAGCGCAGTGCGGGCGCAACACCGAGGGTTGCGATCCTGTTACCAGTCAGTAAAAAAGACAAAAAGGAAAAAAATAAAAAAATAATAAATAAATAAATAAAATAAAAAATAAATAAACTTCAAACAAATCTAGGAAAAAATCATTTGCTTACAGAACCAGGAAAATGTCTTCTTTTGTCAATTTTGCAGCATGTTTGAATTTAAGAATGATAAAACTACATTTTCAATTTACTTAAGAGTTCTCTGAAATTTTATTTTCATAAAGATATTTTGTTATATGAGTGCCAAGTAACCTATTTAAGGTAATAGGAAATTGCCATGTTTTTCTCGGCTCCAAAATTATACTTATCCAGTGATACTCATTTCTCAAAAAAGAAAAACGAGAACTATCAACAATAGGTTAAAAGATGACAGCTAATAAAATCAGATACGCAGGAAAAAAAAAACCTACAAGTACTCTTGTTTCCAAAATTGTATTCTAATTTAAAAAAGAAAAATTAATAGCCAGGCTTCTGTTAAAGACTATTAAAACTATTATTTTAATAAGGAAAGTATATATGCCATATATATCTTTAATCCGTAGTTACTATCAACACTGACATGTTATCACTATGAAGCGTAAGATATCCCTTCTTTCATTACCAAAAAATGTAACAAGACTAAGAGAAGTCAGTCAACTCAGAAGAATTAATATAAGTGGTATTGTTATCTGACCTTATATTTGCAACAGAAGAAACGACATGAAGTTTGAATATGACTAAAATGACTTTGCGCTGACACATAAAATTGTTGTTGTCTACAACTGCAGAAGATCTCCCATTTCCATAAAATATCCTCATAAATTTTAATGCATGTTTAATATATATTCAGAATTCTTTCTAATAATAATGCCAGGCCCAATTTCTTTTGTGGATTTTAGAAATCAGTTTTTTGTATATGGTCAAACAAATATAGAATGACTCTTTTTTTTTTTCCAGTTTATCCTTTATAATTTCTTGATGTTTAATTTTGTAATTCAATCTTAGTTACACAAATTTTCATATTCCCTTAATTTTCTTTTTCATATGTATGAACATAAATGAAAAAAATTTTGTAATAGGAATATATTATATACATTATATATATATAATGCCTAAATTCCAAAATTTTTAAAGTTCTAACACTGATACTAAGTAAAACACAAGTTATATATTAAAACAAACAAACAAACAAAAAAAGTAATAGGAATACTTAAGATAAAATAACATCCCTGTGTCAGCATGACACTAAGCTTTCTGGTAGGCAAAAAGCACAAACTTAAAGAGTTACACATATTCCATGTAAAAGGAAGCATAGAGTTCATTGGGCTAGACAGACTTTTTGCCTGTTATGTTTTAGATATATGAGAGTCTTTAAAAAGTTCATGGAAGGATTCATGTTATCCTTTTAATTCCATTTTTCCATTAACTTTTTGAAGTACCCTTGTATATTTAATAAATATGCCCAAATTTAAAATTTTACAATTTGCTTTAATAGACATTTTATATGAGTTCTAAGTAGATTAGATGAATGCAAATACTAATATGCAACACAAACTTTTGATACTAAAAAGTTGCTATAAAATCTTTAATGCACAGAAAAGTCTGTATCAAATATAATAAACTATTAACAAAGGCTACATCTGTGGAGCAGAATTTATAAAGAAGTCTAAAATGAATGCATGTATTTCTTTCTCTGTATGCGTCTTTGTTATAGTCTTCTCATATCTGTTGAAAATGTATTACCATGAAATTTTTTAAAATAAAAGAAACTGAGGTTCGATGTATACACGGTATTGCAGAAACCAAACTTAATACCTCTCTAGTAGTTAGTATTTAAAAACTGATATTATATCATCATGACTATCCTAATCTGCTAATTAAATCATTACTTACATTTAATTAAAATATAATTTATCCTCTTCAGGGATACTATAGCTTAAAAATTGCATTTTAGATCCTTTATAGTTCAGAAAGTAACATTATAGGGAGAAATATTTGAAAAATATTTTAGGTCAAATAACTGTCACAAAAAAGAAATAAATGTGTACATGTGTGTATTTTCTCTTCTATGAATCTGAAGATGTATTTCTTCAGGAATCTCTCTTAAAATGCTAGAAGAAGATATAACCAACAGATACTCCAGGTTTCCACAAATATGAGACACATTTTCTTTTGCCTCTTTCACCTTAAGTTAGCTTTATGGTAGTTTTTAGTAAATATAATATAATAATTCAAATAGAGATTTTATGTACCTACAAAACCCAGTTCAGCCACTACTTCCTCCAGAGAGCCTTCACTAACAAATCTTGATTGTCCTTCCGTAACCAAACCTGATTATAGTAGTTCCTCTCCAGAATTAATTACTCCTATCCTATCACTATACATTATGGGGTTCCTCGTTGGCTAAGTATTCAATATTCAAATCTCTGCAGTTGTGAAATTACAAAAGGAAGCACTATAAAATTAGACCCACACAAACATCCCTCTCACAAATAACGCTGCTGCTCATGATGTTAATGTTTTGATAATCTCCCTTTGATTATCAGGTGTAGTAAATACACATTAACAATGAAAATCAAAATCAAAGTGAATTTGCAAAATCCTGGAAAAATGCAAAATTTCTTGAAGTTGGTGAAAGTGATGTTGGAAAACTGCTCCAACACAGGCAAAGTTATCAATGTTAAGTGATGATCTGGACAGGTTTAAGTAGTTACCATAAAAAAAAAAAAGACTAAATCAACAAGAATTGTTAATGACCTGGGGACTTATTTGGGGGTGTGGGGGCTTTTTAAATGTATGATTTGAATATCAAAAGAAAAAGAGTGATCTCTAGATAACTGATGAAGTCCTCAAATATTTTTCTACAAATAGCTCCTCTTCATAATCATGGTACACGTGCTATCATACTGTGCAATCACGCAATTTCAGTGAAGAAATTATACCAAAATGAAGCAACCTGTTTCGTTCTTTGTTCTAAGAAACAGTGCATATTTATTCAGAACCTAAATTTGGCATACTCTGAGATAAACTTATTTTCATAATCTACTTCAATTGTTAAAATAAAGCTCCAAAAAAAAGAAAAAAACTCCGAACAAATCTTCTTTATTTATCATGAAATGTTGTCATTTTGACGAATTCACTTGAAGTATACTTCTCCTGGTACCAGTTATTCTCCCATAACAAACACTATTTCTATTGCTGCATTAATTAGTGTATTCAAATTTGTCCATGTATCTATTTATCCTAGCTACCCCTCTAACTTATCTCCTTGAGAACAGATGCTATATCATCTATCTCTACCAATTAGCACCATTCCTAGAAAACACTAAATACTAAAAAAAAAAAAAAAAAAAAAAAAAAAAAAAAAATGCTGAACGTAGGAGTACTATTATTATTATTTTCTTTGGCTGCTGGCTGGCCAACTGAGCTAACTGGCCAGTCCTCTAAAGAGTACTACTTTTAATAAAAAAATTTGTAATTGAATCTAGCACCCAGAGTCCAGTCAACATACATAATATATCCTCAACATTCTAAATCTTCTAACTGGCTATTTCAAAAGGTCTCTGTTTTCAACTAGATTTTACCTGCTTTGCCTATATTTAAAAATACATATGTTCTTCTTAAAATTGTACCTTTATACACAAAAAGGCATTTAATAGAGGTCCATAGAGAGTTATCTGAGAATCTGGGGAAAGTTCCATTTCTACATGAAGTTTATCAGGTGGAAGTTCTGAAGGATCAACAGGTGGGCGTGAAGAAGTAGAGGGAGAAGAAACAACTCTGTCTGATGTTTTCTGGGATGGTCTTAACACAGATAACATTGTTTCCTCCATTTCTGACACTGAAATAAATTGACAGAAAAAAAGATTAACACTTAAGGGAGAGGGCAAATGACCTCTCAGAAGCTCTCCAAGGAAATATTCCCTAAGAAATTTTACTTTGCAAAGATGAAGTCAATTAATCCTAATACAGAATCTATAGTATGGGTTGAGTATCCCTAATCCGAAAATCTGAAATCTGAAATGCTCCAAAATCCAAACTTTTTTGAGTGCCAACATGATACTCAAAGGAAATGTTCACTGGAACATTTCAGATTTCACATTTTCAGATTTGGGATGCTCAATCAGTAAGAATAATACAAATTATACTAAAATACAAAAAAAAAAAAAAAATCTGAAATCCAAGACACTTCTGGTCCCAAGCACTTTGGATAAGGGATATTCAACTTGTATAAATGAAAATAGACTTGAAAGACCAATAATTATGAGAGCAAATAGAGAATAGACTTCACTGAAATATGGAGAGAAATACATAAATGAGATTGCACAGAATGAATGAAAAGTTCCTGTTAACACAAGCAACATTCTCACTGAGTCCCTATGATAAAGATTTTGGTCAAAACTGGGCCTTAACTATACTTGCGCATTAAACTACAAGTTGTTTTCACATAAACAGCTATTCAAATACAGTGTGACATTACCAAGTCACATGTGAACAACTGTGAAAACTATTCTTTGAAACTTAACTCGCTGGAAAAATACAAAGAAAACATCACTCTAATTCTTTTTTGGACCCAAGTAATAAGGCAAATTATCTTCAGGAAACTATGAATTATATGAAAGCTCTCAAAATGCACTAAAGAAACTAACACTTCACAAAATCAAGCAACTTAAATATATAGATTCATACATACCTTCTTTCATATTCCAGCTCTGCTGCTTGTAGTTTGGCAGACCTTGAGAAAATTACCTTCTCTGAGCATATTTCCTCAACTCTGAGATGAGAATAATAATAATATCTACCTCACAGAGTTGTTGTAAGGATTAAATAATATAAACCAGAAAATTGCTTGGCCCAGTATTTGATACATAATATTTGCTCAGTAAAAGTTAGTCATAATTATTCCCAAATATTTAAAAGATTATAAGTTTAAGTCAGAAGACTAAATGCATTTAATTTTATATTTGATTATAAATCATAACAGCAGCTGTTTCAAAGTACAAATTATATACAAATACTTACATGATTGTTTTAGCTGTTCATCTGCTTTTTGTGGATAAATTGGATGCCATGTGTAATCAATTGTAAGCATGACACTTGGAACAGTCCAGCATTCAACCCAACCAGCCCTTTGAAGAATAAAAAACAAAGTTTCTAGTCAGATACTTACAGTTTCAATTGTATAGATACAAGTTACAGATAATCAAATTTTACTTATCAAACTTCACTATTATTCTTTGAAAAAAGAAGAATTTCTCCAAATATAAACACAAAATAATCCAGTCACTAATTTTATGTACTCACTTTTCCTGAGTAATGTTGCGCCATTTTGGTTTAACTGTTTTCTGGCCACTTTGACACTCAGCAGGAATACCAGTATCATGAATCATCTTATGTGGGTGACAATTCTTTACCAGCAAAAACAATGAATATTTACTAGGGTGACAATCTGGTAGAAACAAATGAAGATCAACATCTTCTCCCTAAAAAATAATTTATAATAACCCAAAGTAATAAAATTGGTGCATAAATGTTAGGTTAGTATTTACAGCCAAACTTATCTACAACAATTTCGAAAATAAATTTGAAAGAAACTAAATTTAACTTATTTATTATTATTATTATTTTTTTCCCTTTTTGTCTTTTTTCGTGACCGGCAACGGATCGCAACCCT